ATTACAGTGACAAACCAAATTTTATGTAAACAATAGTACTATGGTAACATATTGATTGTCATCCCTTTAAGTGCTAGTTTATGGGATAAAATATTACCTATTAACTTCCTAGAGTTTTAAGTTACCCAAATATCAATTTTAATCAATATAAGTCCAAAAACAAATAGTTTAATAAGAACTTTTTACCCTGTTTGATTCCGTTCGGAGTGGAATTTCCAAAAAAACGTTCTTAATACACATCTACGTAATAAGACGAATGTACCCTACAAATTTTAAGTCCTTACGACCAGCGGTATAAGCAGTGCGTTGTTTGTTAGTCAGTATATCTGACTGACGGACTAAATAGTTTTTTTTTACCCAATCGTTATCCCTATTATATTAAGTCATCAATTTGTTTTCATCATGTCTTTTTAAGTTTTTTCAAAACTTCTTTTCTCTTATCTGGCAGCCCTATGTGAAACTCAGCTCCATTTAAAGATAGACAATACCCATTGTCGTACACTCAAATAATACTAAATTTTGTTGTGATGTCTTTCCACGCCTCAAAGTTTTGAGGGGAACCAAGCAATGAACAGTTGAGGGGAGGTGGTATGTCCTGGAGTCTTATTAATGTTGTTAATGTAAAAGTTTGCACGTTTTTCTGTTTGTTACCCCTTTACCAACAACAAATCCACGAGTTTAAGTAAAATTTTAGTCAGTACAAAGCCTGAATTAACCCATATTAAGTACCTACTGTTTATTTAGAATAGAATAGAATAGAAAATTGTTTATTTAGCACCAAATTACAGGTATATAACATTGATAATAGAAAAATTCAAAATTAGGTACTAAAAAGGTCTCCGCTCAGCAATATGCCGCAGCGTTTAAGCTACGGCGCTGATTTTCAGCGGATACCTTAATTAAATAAATAAACATACTAAAAAAATAAAATAAAATATGATAAGGAGGAGCACGTATAGCATCACATACAATTACATGCAATTTACAAGACACATATATAAAGTAATTGTCCAGTTTATAAACTTACAAGATTTACATTAATATAATTAAGATTAAAAAAAAAATGTGTGATGAATGACAAATCAATAATTACAATGATATAATAGTAATAATTAAATATTTATGATTATAAAATTAACAAAAATAATTCGCAAACACAGCATCAATATTAACATACACAGCTATTTTGATCTTTGAATATTCATTAAGTAATCCATAAACTTGGTCTTAAACGTTAAAATACTTTAACATTTCTAATAGGGGGAGGGATATTGTTCCAACATTTTGTTGCAGAATAGCTAAAACTGCCACGGAAAGCAGCCGTGTTATATTTCGGACAAATCAAACGCAAAGCGGTTCTAATTGTGCGGTTAGAAAATTGAAGCCTATCATACAAATATGAAGGGTTCTGAGTCTTAATGATACCGAAAAGCAAGCTCGCAAAATGCAGTTTACGTCTTGACTCCATATTCATTAAGTTGTGTTTATTCAGAAATGGTGTAACATGCGACCTGCGCGGTATTGAGAAACAAAACCTAGCACATGCATTCTGAACTCTTTGTATTAGCTTCTTTGTACGATTCAGCAACCATTCACCAGTAACACAATCAGCATAATTCAACTTTGATAGTATAAGAGATTCACAAAGACGAACTCTGATATCCACACTGAGATGTCGACGAAAACCTTACAAAACCTTTAGTCTATAATAACAATTACCAACCACTTCACCCACATGTCTTTCAAAACGTAGTTCTTCGTCTATCAATATACCCAGACTTCTTGCCTCTGCTACTCTCTCTATATTTGCATTTCCTATTTTTAAACCCAGGTCTGAGTCATTCAAGTAGCTCATATGTGCCTTGGTAGCTATCACCAGAAATTTAGTCTTAGATGGATTCAGAACTAGGCCATTTTTCTCTGACCATGCTACGATTCGTTCAAGATCATTATTGATATCAAAAAGCGTTTTTCTTAGTTCTTTCGGGTGAAAACTATTGTAAATTTGCAAATCATCGGCGTATAGGTGGTGTTTACTGTTTAAAATACAAGAAGGTAGGTCCGCGGTGTACAAAATAAAAAGAATAGGTCCCAAAATAGATCCTTGTGGTACCCCATGCTTAACAGAGGCAGACGAAGATAATCTCTTTGTACCATTATCACCAATAACCTCAACTCTCTGAGAGCGACCAGTTAAATATGTTGAAAACCACTTAAGTGTTTTTTCATCAAAGCCATAATATTCCAACTTTGCAAGGAGTAGATTTATATTTAGGGTATCGAAAGCGCGCGAATAATCAAGTAAAACTAAAACAGAAGCCCTCCCTTCATCTCGTAACCTAAGTATATCGTCGAGGACATCCAGAAGAGCAGTAGTCGTGCCTCTACCAGCTCTAAAGCCTGACTACTTCTGAGGTAAAATATTATTATTATGTAAATATTCTGTCAACTGCTGATATATTACCTTTTCTGTAATTTTAGATAAGTATGGTAGTATACTGATTGGGCGTAAATCTTTTAGCTCTGTGGGGTTATTTGTTTTAGGAAGCGGCTTCACGATGGCTTCCTTCCAAGCATCGGGGAAAGTTCCCGTCCTAATAGATTGATTAACGATCGCTGTGATAACTTTAAGAGTAAACGGTAACGTTAATAATACAATATCATGAGAAATACCATCCGATCCCCGAGCATTGGAAGTTATATTAGTAATAATTTTTCCTACCACCGTTTTATCGACTGGTTTTAAACTAAATGAAGCAGAACCAAATCGATTTTGCGAAAAATATGACACCATAGTAGAACTAACTACGTTATTAGAAGGTAATTTTAAGAAATATTTGTTAATATTCTCAGGATCATTTATATGAACTGGTAGAGCAGTATTCCTGTCTTTAAAATTAACGACATTTCTCTTTATATTTTTCCACAATGTACGGGGATTTTTAGAATGTCTATTTATATACTGCTCCAAATAGGCGCGTTTTTCGGTAAACAAGGCACTCCTCACAATATCCTTCAGTTCTTTATAATACATTTTGTAACACTCCGAAGATGTTTTACGGCTTTTAGCGTGTGCTTTATCTCGCAGAGCTACCATCTCTTTAATTGTTGGTGTAATCCAAGGATAACTCTGTTCTTTTATATAAGACGACTTTTCAGGAGCATGTTTGTCAATTAAATAAATCACTTGCTCATTGAAGTTTTTAACAGACTTATTTATATCGTTATCTAAAAGTCGTATCCAGGATATAGAATTAATATCAGCATGCAAGTCGCTTAAATTAATATTTTTTAAAGGTCTATAGTTTATCCATTGAGGAATCTGTTTGGGCCTTTTGATATTAAGCGTACAGGTTACAAAAGCATGTTTGCTAAGATCAGGCACGCAGTCAACAGACACATTAAAAACTTTCTTGGAGCTACATATGAGGTCAATCAAAGTTTCGGAGTGATTAGTGAAATGAGTTGGTTCCGTAACATATTGCTGCAGATTCATACAATGTAAAAACTCTAACAGCTTCTTGGCATTAACATCCGATACCTTCAAGAGATCAATGTTGAAATCACCCAGCAACAGTACATGGTCGAAAGATGAAAGCGAAGCGATCGACTCTGCTAAAGCATTTATAAAATCATCAATATTTAACCATGGTGGCCGATAAGCGGTACCGACAGCGATCCTAATGCAGTTCAGCTTAACACCAAGCCACATTTGTTCGATCATAGATGCATGACTAGTTACTAAGTTACGCGCGTATATACCACGTCGCAAATAAAAACCAACACCTCCACCACGTGAGCGACTGCCCGGCGGTCGTGGGATATGTCGCAGCCGGTAACCAGGCGGGATGGGTGCCTGTCTCTCTTCACACGGTTTTAACCAAGTCTCATTGATTGCCATAATATCTACATTATGATGCTCCATAGCTATAAGAAATTCATCATGACGAGAACCTAATGATCCGGGATTTAATAGACCTAGTTTCAAAGTTTTATTTTTTACATGTTCAATAACAAAGCTGTTCGATAATTCCACATATATACAATTGCCTAAATACAGTTTTAGAACAGTTACATGCCGTAGGTCTAAAGAATAAAATAATAATATTCCGATTTGATAATTGAGAAAAATCTTCGTAGCAACACTATGTTTCAAAGAAGCAATTAAGCTTCTTTGTTAGCGTAAAATGGAGACATGTAGACATCATTTTACGTTTCCATTCTATTTCAAAGACCAAACAAACAAATTTATTAGATATTGAAACTGAAACAAATTTGCATAAACTGGACAACATAAGATTAAAACTATAATTACAATTAATAACAAAATAAATACTATATAAATTAACAGTAACGAATATGAATTTCATTTGCGATTCACATATAATTATCATTAAAAGCGTATAAAAAAATATATTAAAACAACAACATATTATAAAACAAAATATAAATTTCAGCAGCAAAAAGCAACAGTTTATCACCATCAAAAGCAAAGCGACTACAAAACGAAAAACAAAGCAGATTTTAACTATCACAGAAGAACTAATTCGCTGAACCAAAAATAAATTTTGGATCAGGTTTACAACTAAATTAAAATTAATATGAGAATAATTCCTAGATAAAATAATATCAGCAAATACAAATTCAATTAAGTTGCAAATAATTATCATAAAAAGCATGTCAGAAATTAAATAATAAAAAAAAAGCATTATGAAGCAAATTATGAATTTCATAGAACAAAGTGTAAGTTTCCACAGCAGACAGCAATTAATTATCATGAAAAGCAAAATTATAAAACCAGACTCAAAGTAAAAGTTAAGTATCATCAATGCGTTTGGTCGCCGTACCAAAAATTCGATCAAGATCAGCCTCCGTCCGAAGGTGGTGGCGTGGAGCGTCGCTGCCTGGACGTTGACGAGCAAAAACACGCCCATCTTTGGTCCATATGTAACGCCAACCCAGGCTGCGCCCCATATCTCGAGCTTTTTTAAACAGCTGCCTTAAGCATAATAATGCTTCGTCAACCTTTCATTTATGAAGAAGCGACAAGTCTTGCCAGAGAAGCCCATATTCTCCGTAGTAGCCCCACGACGTACTTTAGCAGCCTCAAGCAGTTTGTCCCGCGTGGCACGCCGCGCTAAACGTACCACAATAGGTCGCGGTCGGGGTATGGCATAAGACTGTGTGGCATCAATAGTACGCCCCATACGCGCAGCACTTACTATATCTTGCTCAGACAAATCAACACCCAGCTTTGTCGCTACCACGCTCACAATATGCAGTAAACTCTCCTCTTTCTGCTCGGGTATACAGGTCAATTCAATGTCTGTGAGCAGTAATTCCTGATTACGATCATTGAGTTCAGTTTTTAATTGATCGATTTCGGAAGAAAGGGATGAGACATCATCCCGGGCGGGTGGGGGACTGACTTCTAACTGATCAATACGCTCATTAAGTTTTTTTATACCGCTTTCACAGTTGTCAATTCGATTTGCAAGCATGACCACACTATCATTAAGTCGCTTGGCCTCCAAACGGTTAGCTCTGATTTCTTCACGGATTTCTTCTCTAAATGCACGCATTTCCATGACAAATGACTGGAAATCTGTTATTTCAATTGTTACGTTGTGAGCCGTGTCATTAAGAGTGTCCGTGAGAGAAGGTGGTTGTTCCACAGCCAGCACATCCAGCGCCAGTGGAGAAGTAGCAACAGCAGCCCCTTCGCGCATCGTGACTTCGGTAGAGGCCACACGAATAGGTGTTTTGGTGTTATCAAACTTAGGCTGCAAACTCATGCACAGCACGCACCTCCACTGGGCTTTGTGGTCTACAGTCATAGTATTGTAGAACCGCTGCTCCGATACGTTGGCACAAACTAAGTCATAAAACAGCTGACAGTTGCTACAGCGTAAGTACCTTCTGTCCTCTATGGCAGAACGACATCCATTGCATACCTTTTTTACATTAGACATTTTTGTTTTTTCTACCGTTTTCCCTTGTTAAATAAAATATAAATATTGTGAGCAGTAGAAAAGTCCGCAAAAAAGAAACATAAAAAAAGACAATAATAATAAAATATTATTCCAGTCTCGGATTCGAACTGATACTCGTTAAACGTATAGTGACTTTATATTTGACGCGCCAACGTCTCAACATTGAAGCTGACCAAATAAGCTCATAGTTTATTACACTCCAGACAGTATTCATGCGATAGATAAGCAAACCGGTTTTGATTCAATACCGTTCGCTAAACACACTGCCACCGTTCACAATCACTGATTTAAAAACGAACACTTTACCGGACAAAACCCAATTAAAAATGCTCGCTGGACATTATTGGCTTCACTCCTTTGAATAATGCACTTAGTGGGATTGAGGTAGATGATTACTGCAATATATTTTCAAACAATATGAAACAGAATAACTACTTTAAAACAATAATAATATCAAGAGAATATTTGATTATAACGTTTCCTAGTTGCAACTAATAACAATAAAAAATACGAGTTTACGCAAAGAAGTAGATAGTGAACTCTTATGAGTATTTTTTTGAAAAACCTATTGAAAAAAAAACGTTTTGGCAAAAAATCATCACCTTTGTAACTTGAAGGAGCTCGTCTACTGCCTTAGTACGCAGGCACCGCCCGCATGACACGCAACACATTGCACAGATTCGGCCGTAGACGTTTACAGTATTAAGATCACACAAGAAACTAAACTGTATGTAAATATATGAAGATGCTTTTTAATTTGCGTTGATGTCAACGTTACAATGTTGTCTATCCCTCTGAAAAAAAAACCAACAGCTCAGACCGGCAATCAAATGATCGCGGATGGCTTATCCGCAACATTAGATATTCAAAAAATGTAACCTTTATTACCTTTTGAAATAAAACATATTTGATTGAACCTCTGTAAATTGCCAGCACTATGTTCTTCGATGTGTGTATAATAGTACTGCAATAGTGGTTGTACGATATTAAGCAGGGGTTGGCGACTCACCGCAAGCGATCCTTTACCGCCACGGGTTCCGAGGGCTGGGTTCTGGAACGGGGTGCGTCGACGCGGTTACCAGCGAATATATCATACACGATATATAGTCCATAGGCACTGATCCACCGTTCTTCCGAAATGTCCTTATTCTCGATAACGAACAATTCACCAAGCTCAATCAAAATTAGGTGCGCGCAGTTAACAATTTGAAATCACAGTAGTAAACCGTCACCCAAGGATTAAGGGTGGGGATTTGGAACGAAGACAGCTAATCGCCTTGCCCATAGACAATAAAAATTTTATCCACAGTTGTGTTGTCTTTGTATAGCCAATTATCAATGATCTGTTTCGTTACGGAACATGCCGCTCACCTTAAAGGAACGTGCCTTTAACATTAAATGAACAAATTGAATATTAAATTTAGAACAAAATAAAATATAAATAAAAAACTTAGAACTAAGATTCGATATGCAACGATTAATTGTTTATTCGATAGGGAGTGGACACACCTTTACAACAGGTCGCTTGTAAAATGTATTGCCCCTTTGTAAAGTCACCACACGAGTAACATTATCCGAACCTGGATGTAGAGCATGGACACGTGCTAGTTTCCATTGTAATGGTGGCAGGTGATCATCGCAAACTACCACAATAGTACCCTCACGAATAGAAGACCCGCGAGTCTCAAACCATTTTTGACTTTGCTGAATCTCATGAAGATACTCTCTACTCCATCTCTTCCAAAAATGCTGAACGGACTGCTGTACCCAGCGCCAACGCGTAAGTCGATTAGTATTCTCGTCCACCAAAGAAACATCAGGCAAAGCAATCAAAGGTTCTCCTATCAGAAAGTGTGATGGAGTTAAAGGAAGCGGATCAGGCGAAGCACTGATTGCACAGAGTGGACGCGAGTTCAGTATAGCCTCTATTTGACATAGGAGGGTATGCATCTCGTCATATGTTTGAGTACGAGTGCCAATAACACGATGTAGATGATGCTTAAAACTTTTGACACCCGCCTCGAATAGCCCACCGAAATGACTTGCGTATGGTGGCTGAAAGTGCCACGTTAGGCCTTGTTTAAGTGTCTCTCGATTTAAATTAGCCTGTACAGAGTCGCTGTTTAAGAACGCGAACAAATCCCTTAAATAATTATTACATCCGACAAAGTTCTTCCCACAGTCCGAAAAAATATCAGTACATAAACCTCGACGGGATGTGAAACGCCGCAAAGCCGCGAGAAAAGCTTCCGTGGAAAGCTCGGACACAAGCTCTAAATGTATGGCCTTAACGCTCATACATACAAAAACTGCAACGTAACATTTCACAACTTTAGCATTGCGCACCTTATTTGCACGTACGTAAAAAGGACCCGCGTAATCTACGGCGGTCTTAATAAAGGGTCGCGAGAGACGTAAACGAGTAGCAGGTAACGGTGCCATACGTGGCTGATTAGACTTAGGACGAGAGCGAAAACAAATAACACAGCGATGTATGCGCTGGCGCACGATATCGCGACAAGAAAGTATCCAAAAACGTTGTAATAATAAGTATTGGACTGTTTGTGGGCCGGCATGTAAATACTTTATATGCGCATCGTCAATAATGAGATTGGTTAAAGTATGTTTTTTCGGTAAAATTAATTGATGCTTTGATTCAAATGGTAAAAGAGACTTATGAATTCTGCCTCCCACACGTAAAAATTGATTTTCATCCAGAAATGGCGTTAAACGACGTAATTGATTTGAAGGCAATTTACCCTTTGAAATGTTTTCAATGTCATTACTGAACACACTATGTTGCACTAAATAAATAAGTTTTTTTAAGGAAAAATTATATTCCGGCACAGTTATATAATTAGGGCAAGATTTAATGTGTTTTTTACATTTGAAATAAAATCTAAATATTATTGCAGTAACGCGAACAAGTTTTCCTAACGTAGAAAATCGAGAAATTATCTCTACATCCGGTAAGGGATCCAGTGTAGTTAAATTAGTGTTAATCAAATTAATATTGAGACGCTTTTCCTCTTCCGTTGTATAGTAAGACTTTGATTCCGGCCAGCAAGCTTCGTCCTGTCGGAGCCAACTTGGACCTTGGAACCACAAATCATGTTCTATAAATACGCCAGGTAGCATACCACGAGACGCAGCATCAGCAGGGTTATCGGTCGACGGTACATGTCGCCAGCAGTTAACGGGAACGCGTGAAAGAATCTCGCTAGTGCGATTAGAAACAAATGTTTTCCATTCATGTGGTGGCGAACGTAACCACGCTAACACTATGGATGCATCAGACCAAGCGTAAACTTGATCACCCTTGACGTAATCTGAGTAGGTAACTAACACCTGCTGTAGTAGTTTTGACAACAATAGGGCTGCCATAAGTTCGAGACGGGGAATAGTAAGACGCATACGAAGTGGAGCGACTCGAGTTTTGGCTATAATAAGCGAAGTACGAACATGCCCGTCTTTGCCCGTAAGGCGTATGTATACACAGGCGGCAAAAGCCTTTTCTGAAGCATCGGCAAAGCCATGAATCTGAACAGATCCTAAATCAGAAAAAATGTGCCTTGGGAACGACACATTCGAAATAAATGGTAACTGACTACTAAATGATTTCCATGAATTAACAATATCAATCGGCGGTGCTTCATCCCAACCTATATTGGCTATCCACAAAAGTTGGATCAAATGTTTGGCATATAAAGTAACTGGCGCTAAAAGGCCCAATGGATCGTATATTTTAGCTATCTCGGAAAGAATAGCGCGCTTGGTGCTTAAGCAAGGTGATATTTTGACATTAAAATTGAAACAGTCGGAAATAGGGTTCCATTGAAGTCCAAGGACCTTGACCTGTTCATCGTGTTCCATTTCGGCGAATCGGACTTCATCGAGCCGCTCACCATGAGAATCTGGGGGAATTACTGCAGCAAGTACCTCTGGTGAATTACTATGCCACTTTCGAAGCTCGAAACCCGCCGTCTTACAAATATTAATAAGCTCTTGTTGAACTACTAAAGCTTCATGAACAGTAGAGGCACCGGAAGTGACGTCATCTACGAAAACATCATTTAATAAAACCTTAGAAGCAAGTTTGAATCGTGAAGCCTCATCTATAGCCAATTGCTGGATAGTTCGGAGAGCCAGATATGGAGAGCAATTCACTCCAAATGTGACTGTAGAAAGACGATAATCACGGATAACCTCATCAGGCGACTTCCGCCATAAAATGCGCTGAAAATCCCTATCTTCCTTTCGAACTAAAATATTCCTAAACATTTGTTTGATGTCAGCAGTGAAGGCCACTGAATGAATACGAAATTTTAAAATAACATTAACTATATCTAAATGAAGTTTAGGACCTGTCAACAAAATGTCATTCAATGAGTAGCCACTAGAAGTTTTACACCCGGCGTCGTAAACTACTCGAGTGCGAGTGGTCTCACTGGATTCTTTGACCACGCAATGATGCGGAATATAATAAGTGGCCCCTGATGTCGGCTCGCCCTTAACGGGCTCCATGTGCTTCATATCCAGATACTCTTGGAGACAGGCATGATAGTCTTCCTTAAGCTTCGGGTTTCGCTCGAGACGAAACTCTAACTTACGAAAGCGCGCAAGTGCAGTTTGACGGGATTCGCCTAGAGGGGGAGCCTCCGGCTTAAAAGGCAAAGCGACCACGTATCGCCCCGTTGCGTCACGTATATGCGTCTTTTGAAAAAAGGATTCGCATATTTCTTCATCAGGAGTGTAACTCCGTTTTTCAGGAAGTGACTCTAATTCCCAAAATCTCTAAAGGTTGTCATTGTCAAATGAACTAAAACAAACTTGAAGTTGAGACGGAGAGGAAACAATATCTAGTTTACCTAACAATAAATAACCGAATATACTATTTACTGCTATCGGTGAACCTGGTAAGCCCGTAATGACGTCACTCAAAAGCACATGGGATAGTATATCCGCTCCTAATAACAGGT